GGACGTCCTGCTTAAGTAGTTGAAGTAACTCTTCAGAAGAGAGGAGAAGTACTACCCCAGCGAGAGTTGTGAAAACATCCACTGGAGCAACAGTTGAATTTGAGCAAATGCATGCTAGAATTTCTTTCCTTGACTTTTGATTGTCATCAACCCGTAATCTTGCTCTTATCCGCACCATGATGTCCAGGAAGGTACATCTGGCACATAAGTTACTTTAACAAAAAGGGTCTTTCCTTAGTGTTAGTTTAACATCCTATTTCAGCTGACTTTTGAAGGTCAGCCCCTAAGATAGCCTACTCTCAAGTGGTGAGGGGGAAAGAGCCCAAGGCAAAGATCGGCCGGTTTTTAAAAAACACACGGGCTACCGGATGGTCAAAATGCCTTGTGTTAACTCGCCAAAGCGAAGTTGCCAAAAAAGAAGAAGATAGGAAAGTCAGAAGGATAGCAATGTATGTAGTGTGTTAGTGTGTGGGCCAGTTGTAGTTGTTTGGGTGAGGGGGAGGAAGGGGAAGGATGGGGGGATGGGGAAGAGAGGGGTGAACAAGCAGGCAAGTACACCGCCCTACCCTCTTGATGGGATGGGGCTCAAAGTGACTGCAAGCAAGTTTCCTCTCAGCTCTGGTGAAGAACTACTCAGGATAACCAAGAAAAATCTCGAGTAACAGTGTTCAGAGTTGCTCTGCTCGAGAATTACTCAGGATGACTGAAGAGCAGGAACGACGACGTCTTCTCTCCACGGCAGCTGGGCGGCTTCTCTCTCTGTATCTGTATAATATCATTATTATATATTATTATACACAATACAGGAGGTCCCCAATATGTTTGTAAGTCAAGACTTACTGTAATAACATGGGGAAGGTGAGAAGAATTCTTCCTCCATAAGCCGTGTGTGTTATCAGAGCAACTAAGATGCTGGCAGCATTTTAGTTGCCCTCCTACATAAGTATAAAAGAAAACCTTTTGTTTTTATTTTTAGGTCACCCTGCCTTGGTGGGAGATGGCCAGTGCATTAAGAAAAAATGGTTCCTGGATATTGTAAGACTTCCTGACATGGGTAAAACTCATGGGTAGAGTGCTCCAAGAAAGCTCCCTCATTAATGCAGATTTTCAGTGTTTTAGTAATGTCTCTGAAGCAAATATTTGCTGTTTACACATGCATAACAGTGAAGATTGATAAATGAGACACAATTGCAACATTTAGGTATCTTCATTCTTGAAACGTTTCACCAGCCAGTGGCTTCTTCAGTCCAGTACAGAGAAAAGTGTAATCTGAGGAGTTTGAGGGGTGATCAGTCCCTCATCCTGGAGTCATGTGTCCAGTCCATATTCACAGAGATGTGGGTTTCTTAAGGTAGTAGGTTGGTAAACAGCAACCACCCAGGGAGGTACTACCGTCCTGCCAAGCGAGTGTAAAACGAAAGCCTGTAATTGTTTTACATGATGGTAGGACTGCTTGTGCCTTTTTTCTGTCTCATAAACATGCAAGACTTCAGGTACGTCTTGCTACTTCTACTTACACTTAGGTCACACTACACATACATGTACAAGCATATACATACAGTGACCCCCGGTTTACGATCAGCTCCCAATGCGACCAATTATGTAAGTGTATTTATGTAAGTGCGTTTGTATGTGTATGTTTGGGGGTCTGAAATGGACTAATCTAATTCACAATATTCCTTATGGGAACAAATTCGGTCAGTACTGGTACCTGAACATACTTCTGGAATGAAATAATATCGTAAACCGGGGGTCCACTGTATATACACACCCCTCTAAGTTTTCTTCTATTTTCTTTCTAGTTCTTGTTCTTGTTTATTTCCTCTTATCTCCATCTCCATGGGGAAGTGGAACAGAATTCTTCCTCTGTAAGCCATGCGTGTTGTAAGAGGCAACTAAAATGCCGGGGGCAAGGGGCTAGTAACCCCTTCTCTTGTATAAATTACTAAATTTAAAAAGAGAAACTTTCATTTTTCTTTTTGAGCCACCCTGCCTTGGTGGGATACAGCCAGTTTGTTGAAAAAAAAAAATGTGGGTTTCTCCACTGGTGACTCCACCTATCACTGCTCCACCTCATCTGTCATCAGTATATAAGACCCAAATCCATGAATATGCTGCACTTTTAACAAAATTGATGGACTGAACACATTAACTCCAAACTGAGGGACTGATTACCTCAAACTATTCCTCATCTTCCACCCTTCTTTGCACTGGACTGAAAAAGCCACTGACTGGTGATACTCATTTATCAATCTTCTAAGCCATTTATTCAATGAAGATTCTATATACAAAAATTGAGTTACTTTTTCTATTTTAACCTCACTGACCATCTACCAAGGCAGGGTGACCCATAAAAGAAAATACATTGACCATTATTCACTCAATGTGTTAGAAATATGTTGACATCACAAATCAGATTACCCCTTAATTGCAACATCCCCAGCCCTCCTTCAGAGTGCAGGAACTACCCTTCCCACCTCCAGAACTCTAGTGCAGTTAACCTGCTTTCCCCAGATTTCCCTCATCAAAGTTAACGCGGTCACACTCCAACAGCATTTACATTTAAAGCCACTCTTCTCCGCTTGTATCTAAATGCTACCACAAGCCTGCTGGGTGCTCAAGCTTCTTAAAAAGTAAAACCTTGAAAGTTTTAAGTTTTTGACTGATGTCTACACAACTAGGATCCATGTATACATGCATAAAATGCAGTGTCACTAAATATGCATTTGGTTAAAAATTAGTGAAAATATATGAGATTTGTTGTTAGAATGTTTGTATTTGCAAATAGGCATTTGTAAGAAATGTATTTGTCGCAAGGTTTTTACACATGTAAATGTGAATGTTTGTAACCTTGATGGTTAAAAATCAGGGTTATATTGTATTGTATTGTATATTGTATTGTATTATTGACACTTGTGTGAACTATCAGTGTTTTAGCAGTCTGGACTGAATGACACTTGTGAAATACAGTGGTACCTTTAGATACAAACAACTCAAAACTCGAACAGTTATGTAAGTGCTTTTGTAAGGGTATTTTTGGGAGTCTGAAACGGATTAATGTAATTTACATTATTCCTCATGGGAACAAATGCATTTGGTATAGGCACTCGAATAGCCTTCTGGAACGAATTTACTTTGTATACCGAGGTACCACTGTACTTGGCTATGTTTATTGTGGCAGTGTTTCACCAGCCATTGCCTTTATCTAATAGAGGGAATTGTTGAGGATGTGGACAGGGAGTTTGAAGGTCCCTAATATGTAGGTTGAGGGACTGATTACCTGAAGATTGATAGACAGAGCACATTGACTCCAGGCTGAGGGAATGACTATCACAAACTCCTCCTCATGTTCCACCGATCTTCTCTGCATAGACTGATGAAGCTGGTGGATGCTTCCATAATAAAGATTACCAAATGCTGCACAAGTGTCACATTCATGAAATGATTACCTCAATCTCCATATGTTCCACTATTTCTATATGTGATTGATTAAGCCACAGGTTTGTAAAATGTTTTTAGGTTGAAGATACCCAAGTGCTGGACATACTTTTTATTCATCAATGTGCTGGTTTTCTGACTAGCAAGTATTTTCACTTGATGGACATGTGGGTCAGTGGGCCACCAGCAGCAACAGCCTGGTTGACCAGGCAAGCGCCAGACAAGCCTGGCCCATGGCAGGGCTCTGGCAGTAGAAAAACTCCCGGAACTCAACAAAGGACTCAATTGCTCTGGGTTCAGTCCCTCCCCATTCTGTAGTTTTTCAAAGGCATACAAATGCACCTTGACTTCCGATGGCGTTACATTCCAATGAACCCGTCATGAGTTGAAAATATTGCAAGTCAAATAAGAATGATACGATAGATAAATGAGTACTGTCACTGAATGAGTAAACAGTCAAATATTCTTTCTTTTTTCAACAAATCAGCCGTATCTCACCGAGGCAGGGTGGCCCAAAAATAAAAACGAAAATTTCTCTTTTTAACTTTAGTAACATATACAGGATAAGAGGTTACTATCCCCTTGCTCCCGGCATTCTAGTTGCCTCTTACGACATGTAAAATTAAATAATTACTACTTCCATGGGGAAATGGTACAGAATTCTTACCCCATAAGCCATGCTTGTTGTAAGAGGTGATTAAAATGCTGGCAGCAAGAGGCTAATAACACCTTCTCGTGTGTAAATTACAGCCTCTCCTCACTTAGCAACGTACTTGTTTACCAATGACTTGGACTTACAACGAACTCTCTGACCAGTATGCATACCTAAATAATATATATTAGAGCTAATTTCTTTTATTCTCTTTATTACATTATACAGTACACTACTGTTTAAACATTTAAAAATACAGTGGACCCCCGCTTAACGATCACCTCCCAATGCGACCAATTATGTAAGTGTATTTATGTAAGTGCATTTGTACGTGTATGTTTGGGGGTCTGAAATGGACTAATCTACTTCACAATATTCCTTATGGGAACAAATTCGGTCAGTACTGGCACCTGAACATACTTCTGGAATGAAATAATATCGTAAACCTCGGGTCCACTTTATACTAAAAATGTTATAAATGGTGCAAAGGTGACATTAAAAACAATATCAAAGATGGTTGACACAAACTCACTACCATTATAATATGCTCCTCACTTAGCGACAAATTCATTTACCGACATGGCCTTAGGAACGGAACTCCGTCGTTACGTGAGGAGAGGCTGTACTGTTTTTTTTTTTTTTTTTTAAGAAAAACTCGTTTTTCTTTTTAGGTCACCCTGCCTTGGTAGGATATGACTGATGTGTTAAAAAGGGAACTAACTAAATACCAGTATCGAAAAGTAAATAAATGAATACACGTTTATCACATCAATAAATGTACGGTACTGTACGATAGTGCTATTACGCCATCATAAAGCTGAAATATCCTAAGTCTTACCATCATAAAGAAAGAGTACCTGTAAATACAGGTAACACTATTGATTATAATTAATTGAGTGAAGCATTTCAGGTTGCTGGTCTTCCTGGCATACAGGAATTCAACGCTGACGAGGTGCCGGGTAAACTAGAGGGCATCCTACCAGTCATACAGAAAGTCAACAAGAAGTTCAAAAACCCGGTATGTATATGAAACAAAACTTGTTTAGTTTCTTTAACCCGTAAACTGTCCAAACGTATATATACGTTTTTTCAACATTTGAAAGTATGTAAAAAAAGTAGACCTCCTTTTTGTTTTTTTACATTTGAAAATGTGTAAAAAAAACTTTGATCTACTTTTTTTTTTTGTTATATCTGCCTTGGTGGGAGACGGCCGACTTGTTGAAAAAAAAAAATGTAAAAAAACGTAGATCTACTTTTGGAGCACTACACATGTGAACGTAGATCTGCTTGGACCGTTTACGGGTTAAGGAAATGCCCTCTTGAAACTTTCAAGGTTATTTACTCTGAGCCGTGTACATGTCTTTATATATACACCTCTGACAAGATGGTGATGGAATGATTGATGGTGAAAGTGTTTCTTCTTTTTTCATTTTGCTCTACCTTGGTGAGAGATGGCCAGTGTGTTAATTTTTTTTTTTTTCCCCTCAACAAGTTGGCTGTCTCCCACCGAGGCAGGGTGACCCAAAAAGAAAGAAAATCTCCAAAAAGAAAATACTTTCATCATCATTCAACACTTTCACCTCACTCACACAATCACTGTCTTTGCAGAGGCACCCAGATATGACAGTTTAGAAGTCCTTCCAAATTGTCAACTTCCTAGACCCCTCCTTTAAAGTGCAGGCATTGTACTAATCATTTGCAGGACTCAAGTCCTGCTAAATCTATAATAACCGGTTTCCCACAATCCCTTCACTAAATATTACCCTGCTCACACTTCAACAGCTCGTCAAGTCCCAAAAACCATTCGTCTCCATTTACTCCTATCTAACACGCTCACACACACTTCCTGGAAGTCCAAGCCTCTCGCCCACAAAACCTCCTTTACCCCCTCCCTCCAACCTTTTCTAGGGCGACCTCTACCCCTCCTCCTTTCCCCTACAGATTTATATGCTCTCCAAGTCATTCTACTTTGATCCATTCTCTAAATGACCAAACCACCTCAACAACCCCTCTTCAGCCCTCTGACTAATGCTTTTAGTAACTCCACACCACCTAATTTCCACACTCTGAATTCTCTGCATAATATTTACACCACACATTACCCTTAGACAGGACATCTCCACTGCCTCCAACCGTCTCCTCGCTGCTGCATTTACAACCCAAGCTTCACGCCCATATAAGAGTGTTGGTACCACTATACATTCATACATTCCTTTCTTACCTCCATAGACATTGTTTTTTGTCTCCACAGATGCCTCAACACACCACTCACTTTTTTTTCCTTCATCAATTCTATGGTTAACCTCATCCTTCATAAACCCATCCGCTGACAAGTCAACTCCCAAATTTCTGAAAACATTCGCTTCTTCCATACTCCCTCTCTCCAATTTGATATCCAATTTTTCTTTATCTAAATCATTTGATACCCTCATCACCTTACTCTTATCTATGTTCACTTTCAACTTTCTACCTTTACACACCCTCCCAAACTTGTCTACTAACCTTCGCAATTTTTCTTTAGAATCTCCCATAAGCACAGTATCATCAGCAAAAAGTAACTGTGTCAACTCCAGTTTTGTACTGGATTCCCCATAATTTAATCCCACTCTTCTCCCCAACACCCTAGCATTTACTTCTTTTACAACCCCATCTATAAATATATTAAACAACCATGGTGACATTACACATCCCTGTCTAAGACCTACTTTTACCGGGAAGTATTCTCCCTCTCTTCTACACACCCTAACCTGAGCCTCACTATCCTCATAAAAACTCTTTACAGCATTTAGTAACTTACCACCTATTCCATATACTTGCAACATCTGCCACATTGCTCCTCTATCCACTCTATCATATTATTATTTTTTTTTTATTATCACACTGGCCGATTCCCACCAAGGCAGGGTGGTCCACCAAGGCAGGGTGGTCCACCAAGGCAGGGTGGTCCACCAAGGCAGGGTGGTCCACCAAGGCAGGGTGGCCCGAAAAAGAAAAACTTTCACCATCATTCACTCCATCACTGTCTTGCCAGAAGGGTGCTTTACACTACAGTTTATTTTAAACTGCTCAATCAAAGTGCAGGCACTGTACTTCCCATCTCCAGGACTCAAGTCCGGCCTGCCGGTTTCCCTGAACCCCTTCATAAATGTTACTTTGCTCACACTCCAACAGCACGTCAAGTATTAAAAACCATTTTGTCTCCATTCACCGTCCTATCAAACACGCTCCGCATCCTGCGGAAGTCCAATTTGTCCCCTTTTTCCCTTTTTTTTGTTTTTTTTTTTTTTGTTTTCCTTCCCTTTTTTTTTTGTTTTTCCCTTTTTGGTTTTTTTTCCCCTTGTTTTTGTTGTTTTTTTTTTTTTTTTTTTTTTTTATTTTTTGCTTTTTGTTTTTTTTGGGGTTTTTTTTTTTTCCCCCCCTTTGGGCCCTTTTTTTTTTTTGCTTTTGTTTTTTTTTTTTAAAAATTGTTTGTTTTTTTTTTTTTTTTTTTTTTTTTTTTGGGTTTTTTTTGGAGGGTTAAAGGGGGGCCCCGTTTTTTTTTTTTTATTTTTTTTTTCCCGGGGGTTGCTTTACCTACATTTTTTAAAAACTGCCTCATTAACACCCCCCCCCTTTCAGAGTGCAGGCACTGTATTTTTCCCCATCTCCAGGATAAAGGGTCTGGGCCTGCCTTTTCCCCCTAAACCCCCCTTCATAAATGTTACTTTGCTCAAAACCCCCAACAGCCTAAAAGTATTAAAAACCATTTGCCCTCCATTCACCTTTCCTATCAAAACACGCTCTTGCATGCCTGCGGAAAGGGTTCCAACCCCCTCGCACACAAAACCTCCCTTTACCCCCTCCCCCCAAACCCTTTTCCCCTAGGGCGCCCAAACCCCTACCCCCCCCTTTTTTCCTTCCACTACAGACTGATATGCCTTTTCAAAAAACCATAAATGCATTTGAAAATTTCCCCCTACTTTTTTCAAAATTTCTTTTTAAACATTATTTTCCCAATGTAAACACTTGATCTACACACCCCCTATCCATTCTAAAGCCCCCTTTTGTTTATCTGCAATCCTACTCCCCCTGTTTTTATTTTAAATTTCTTTCAAAAAAAAACCAAAAACCGAAACCTTTTAAACCTGGTAAAACCAGAAAACCTTTTTTTAAAAAACCCGGGGGCCGGGAACCCCCCGAGGCTGGGGGGCCCCCAAAAAGAAAAAACGAAATTTTTCCCCCTTTCCCAAAAAATTTAAAGAAATTTTATAAGGAAAAAGGGGTTTAATTCCCCCCCTTAAACCCCAGAAAAACTTATTCCCCTATATTTTTTTCAATCTCCCCTTTTTCCCCTTTTTTCCTTATAAAAAAGGAACAAACTTGCTTTTGGGCCAACCCCAAAGGTCCCTTTTTTCCCTCTTTCATACATTTTTTTAAACAAAAATACCAACCACTCCAATACAGTATCCCCCCCTTTCCCCCCCTTTTTAAAAAATTTTTTATGTATAAATCCTGTCAGTTCCTGTGTTTTACCCCCTTTCATTCTACTTAATGCCTCGGGAAAACCCCCCCCCCACCCCTTATTTCCTGCTCTTTTTAAACTCCAAAAAAGATGTTATACCCCCCCTGCCCAAGTGCATGCCCCATTACCCCCCTCCCTTTAAATTTTCATCGGCTTTTAAAAAAATTTCCCTAAAAAATTTTCCCTGCCTCTACCCAATACCTCCACCCCCCATCAAACTAACCCCCAAATTTCTGTTTTTAACTGACAAATCCTTTTGTTCCCAAGGCTTTTTTTAAACCCTTTTATCTCCCCCTTTCCAAAATTTTTTTTTCTTATTTTCACCCAAAATTTCTTCCCCAGTGCCCCCCCAACTCTTTCATTTTCTCCCCTTTTTGCACTCTCTAACCCCCCTTTCTCTTCCTTTTCTTTTTTTTCTCCATATCCTCCCCTTTCTTCTTACAAACATTTTCTACTTTGTAAAAACCCCTTTTAAAAGGGCAAACCTTTTTTTTCTCTTTTATCAAAACCCTTTACTTTCCTTTCCCACCCAAATCACTTCCTCTTTCCCCCTGAAACCCCCCCTCCTAAAACCCCACAAATTTTCTGCCCCCCCCATTCAAATTACTGCTTTTTTAAAACTACCCCAACCCCTCTTAAACCCCCCCCCCCCCCTACCAAAACCCCCCTTACTTAGCCCTCCTTTCTCCCAAAATATTTTCCCTTATATCTCCCCTTAAACTTCCCCCTTTCCCCCCAGATTTTTAAAATTGTCCCCCTTCTTTTTTAAATTTGGGTTTAAAAACCATTTTCTTTTTACCCCAAACCTACCTTTTAAAAACTGTATTTTAAAACCTAAATAATGATCCTTTATCCTTTTTGCCCCTCTATAAACATTTAAAACCCCTGAAGCCTACCCATCGGGTCTTTTTTTCCCCCCAATACATTTTTTAAACCCAACCTACTTTCTTTTATGTGCTATTTCTTTTTTTTTCCCCTTTTTATTTTTTCCTTTTTTTTTTCCCACAAAAAAATGTATTACTTTTTTCCCAAAAACCTCTTTTTTAACATTTAGCTCAATTAAAGGCCCCCCCCATTTTCCTTTTACCTCTGGAAAACCCCCCAAATTTTGCCTCCCTATTTCCTTTTCCCACAACCCCCCCAAATTTTTCCCCCCCTTTAAAAATTGAGATCCCCCCAACTACAGGTACTCCCCCCACTTGGTTCAAAAAAACCCCCCCATGCACCCCACTAAACCCAAATTTTCCCAAAATCTCTTTCTTTTTTCTCTCCCCCTTCTTTCTTCTCGAGGTGCTTTAAAACACTTACTAAAAACCCCCATTTTTCCACATCCAACCCTTTTTTTACCCATCCACTTCTCTTTCAAACTTTCCACAATCATCTTTTAAAATCTTGGAACAACATCCACGCACATTCAGACAAACCCACTTTGACAGTTTTTTTTTTTCTTTTTTTTTTTTAGTAAGCTATATGGGGAAAAGGGGTTACCACCCCTTGTTCCTGGCATTTTTTGTTGA